TATACATAAGTGCCCATTAGGTTCAAAGACAAGATTGCAGTTTAGCTCAAAATTAATCTATAAACACAGGGAAATACAAAATAAAACTATAGCAAAATGACACTACATCCATCAGATTGGTAAAAATTAAAGACTCTGACAAAAACAAATATTGTCAAAGATGTGGAACAAGGGAATCCTGGCTCCCTGCTCGTGGGCACACAGGATGATGGGATACTTTGGAAAATAGGTGGTAGGATGCGGTGTCACTGTGACTCAGCAATTTCTCCTAGAAAGACCCCACACAAATGAGTGCTGATGTGCACAGGGTGAATGTGCAAGAACAGTGTTAGTCATCAGCAGCCCTCGAATGCAAACCACCCAGATGTCCATTAGTGGTAGAGCGGATTGAAGAAAATGTGGACTTTTTATAAAGTGGGATGTTATACAGCAATAAAAGTTAGCTACAGCAATATGATGAAACATGGGCACATCTTAGAAATAGAATGTTGTAAAAAGAAGCCAGACATTATAGAATAATATGATTGCAAAGCTCACAAGCAAGTAAAAGAGACTAATATTTCCTTAGAAGGTAAACTACAAGTGGTGGGGGGAGGGGGAGGACACACAAATGAGTGAACACCATAAAAATCAGGATAGTGAGTTCCTTTAGAGAGTTGGAGAGGTCTGAGTAGGTCACTGGGGGCTGGCGATGTTCTCTTATTGGGACTTGAATAAGTGGTTACATATTAGTTTAATTTTCAACAATTTCTTAATCTACAAATTTATGTCTTATGTATTTTTCTGTGTGTTTGTTATTTCACAATTAAAAAGTTTAAAAAAGAAAAAAGGCCACAATGATGCAAGGCTCACTGTTTCATTTGGATCTGAGTCCTGCTTAATAAACTAATTAGACTGGCTGATAATTATCGCTACCAGCATTTCTCACACACACACACACACACACACACACACACACACACACTAGCTCTCACGCTCCTGCTGTCCTGGCTCCAAGCCTCCCAAACTTGCCACTGGCAGGTGCCTGGGCTCAGACACCATTTCCTCCAGCCCAGATGCTGGCCTGCCCAGCTCTTCCCGAACCCTCCAGCCCACTGCACCCCTGGTGGTGTGCTCACGAAGGCCACACGCCTAGCGGCTGACACCAGCCTGAGACCTGCTCTGCTTTGTCCCTGATAGAGGGCCCTGTCACCACTCCCTCTGCTCCTGCCCTCGGCACACCCCAACATCTGCGGCTGGGGCGCAGCGGAGCGGGTTCCCACGCTGATAGGGGGCGTGTGTCCAGCGCCGAGTCCCGCCTCACCAGCCCGGGCGATCCCCATGCAGGCTCCCCTTGCACACCTCCGGGGACAGGCAGCTCACTATCTATCACGCCCACAGGGACCCAGGAGAGGTTTTGGATAACGGGCGGCTCCAGGGTAAACCTGGGCGCCCCGTGGGTCCAGCTCCTTCTCTGGGGC